TTTTATTTTCAGATGCTAGTTTATTTTAATAAATGAAAATTATTCTGGTTAAAAAAATAAGTTCTACTAACTATGAAAGTTTAAATAGGAACCTATTTATTTAATCACTAATTGCTCTTTACGGCTCTCAAATATTAGGAATGAAGCTTAAACAATGACATACACGTACGTGTGTGTGCACACAAATGTGTATATAAAATAGAGATGATATCAGTGTAGTTATATATGCATTTTTAAATACATTTCTATTTGAAATCTCTTTTACAAAGAATGATCTTTTTAAAAAATGTACTAGAAATTTTAAAAATTGATATTAGTTATATATCATGGATGTTTTGAGGCTGAAAAATGTCTTGGAAACAATTTTAGTCCCATCCCTTCTGAATCAGTTCATGTTCTTTGGTCACTGGCCGCAGAAACTGATTCAGATTAAATAAAGTGGAAATGATTTTATTAGAAGGATATTAGGTAACCAGATGAATTTAGGGGAAAACCCGGCTCAGGAGAAAAGGCAAAGATGTGGCACCTTTGAATGGATCTAGGTAGCAAGAACTACATGAGACTCTTGTCAGGATGTCGCTGCCATCTTGATTGAGCTCCAACAACTAACTGTCTATACCTTTGTGTTCCTCACCTCAAGATTCAAAATCCTGAGAGAAAGGCCAGTTGGCTTAATTTGGGTCACTGCCCCAGCCTTCGGCTAGGGAGTCTTTGAAATCAAGTCCCACCAAGATGACATACAATATGGGACAGGCCATTTCCAAAAGTACTTTGGAGTGCTGCCGCCTGTGGAAGTGGAATTAGATGCTGGGTGGACCAAATCCAGCCAAAGCGCCCTCATCTTCCAGGTGAGGGAAATAAGGCTCAGAGAGCGATCTTCTGCATTTCTGTCCTGGATTGGGATTAGAACTGAGACGGCCTCCTAATGTGTGTTTATTTTTAAAGTCAGTGTTCTAAGTTTTATTTATTCCTGATTTTCTTTGTTTTTGCCCTAGAATGCTTTCTTCACTCACAAGAAAACATGGTGGCGGCCAGGGCATAGACAGACAAAGTGGCTGTGCTCGTTTGAAGCAAGGCTGGATTTCCAGCCCCTTATCCTCTCAGACCTGCTATACTGCACCCCAAACTGCCTTTTGGAGCACCACTTGATGTCCCTTCAGGCTCTTCAAACTCAAGTTATCTGAACTCAAACTCGTTATCTTTCCCCAAATCTATTCATCCTTTTATGTTCCTCTCTTTAGAAATTACCAATTACCCACTCGGAAAACCTGGTTATCATCCTAGCTCCTCCCTTTCCATCATCCCAACATCCACTCAATCACCAAGTAATTGATATTTTTATCTCCTAAATATGTATTGAATCCACCTTCTTCTATTTATCTTCCCACCTTTCCTTGGGTTCAGCCCCCATGGCCTCTCCTTTCCAGGACGCCCAGAGTCTCCCTTCTCTCCTCCCTGCTCCCAGTTCTATCCTCCTGCTGGCCATTCTCTTGGATCAGGTGTGCATTTCAGAGTCACAAGCCCAACCAAGGATGCTAAATTGAAAGTATTTTTTTATAACTTAATTTTAATTCCTGGCCCTGAGCCCTGATCCTCCGTTGTGTAAAAATCCAATCTTGTCTCTTTCAGGTAAAGTCAATCCAATTCAGTGATTTCTCAGGTTATTCAGGATTCTAACACATCCCTTCCCCTCACCCTATTTTCCTAAATAGAAACAACACAGCACTGTGCAGGGTAGAGGGGAGTAGTGTTGCTAGATTTGGCAAATAAAAACACAGGACATATGCTTAGACTTGAGTTTCAAAATCAAGAAAACTTTTTTGGTATAAGCATGTCCCATGCAATATTTGGGGCATAGTGATACTAAAAAATCATTCACTGTTTATCTGATATTCAGATTTAACTGGGCATCTTGCCCAGTTTTGTCTGGCAACTCTGGGAGTTGGGGTTTGCAGCATTCACTTTTAGATCTTGACCTAGGACCTTGAAATAGACCTGAATTTGCCTATCTAGTATCTGTTCCTCCTTTCTTCTTTGCTAACACAGCTTCAGTTTTATTTGGGCAGCAATGTGCCCAAGAACAGGCAAGATATTTGTTTTTCCAGTCTGCTTGCAGCAAGTGGTGGCCACATGACACAGTTCTGGCCAATGAGACCAAAGTGAAAATCCACTAGTAGTTGCAAGAATCCTTTTGTTTTCCGCCATAATAGAGAAGGACAACTGGTGCCGCCTCATTCTCCCCTTTTTTCTTGCCTTGAAGGTGGATGTGATGTCTGGAACAGGAGCAGCCCTCTCGTGACCAACAGGGAACAAGCATGAGGGAAAGCTTAAGAAAGTCCCAGAGGCATGGGCCTTGTACTTGCCAGGCCACTGAACCAAGGCTGGCAGCTGCCTACCTTTAGGCATCTTGTGCTGTGAGAAATAGAAACCTGTAGTTTGGAAGGCACTGCAAGGCAAGTTTTCTCTTATAGCTGACTGCATTCCTAACCTATGGGGTTCTATGCACATGACCATCTCTGATGCACTCAATCCATCCTTTCCTGTCAGCTCTGGAAATATGCTGACCTGACCCTTTCAGTAGCTCCCCAAGGCTTCTTATTTTCAGAGTTATAGCTGTGTCCTCCTTTAGTCCCCAGTGGGCAGCCTGTACAACAGGCTTTTAGCCTACATCTCCTTGCTGTGGCCAGTGACATTGTGGCAGACACCAGCCCTCTCTTTCCATTAACTTTGTGTCACACATGGAGCCCACTAGACTATTATGGCATTCCGCCCTTACCATTCAGGGGCTATGGGAAAGTATATGGGCTGGTTCTGGTCCTCTTCTCTGAGAAACACTATACAGTGACTTTGCTGCCTTTCCATGCCCTTGTGTAGGAGTGGGTGGGAAGCGGAGAAGACAGAGGGCATGACCTTTCACAGCATCTCTCTGCTTCCTTCTCCATCCTCTCCTCCTCCATTTCGGCTAGAGGGCAGACACAAACAAAAAGCTGTTATGTCTTCTCTCTTCCCAATTTCCAATATTTTTGGTCTCATACAAGATGGTGGCTTTTGAACTTTTGGCCTAAGAATGTGGTTCCCTTAATCTCTTTATGGACTAGTCCCGTAACAGGTGCCCTGCATCGGCTGCCAGATGGGGGAGGTTGCAGTTCAGCTGGGACACTTGTTCCAGATGATTTTTCTAAAATACAATCTCATCGAGTCATTTCCCTGGCTCAAACCCTTCAATGGCTCTGCCTCACTCCTGGCTTGGAGTCCAAAGTGCTTACCATGGCTTTGAGGTCTCCAGGATCCGAGTCCTGCCTTTTTTCTTTAAACTGCTCTCTTACCACTCCCCTCCTTACCACCCTTTATATATTTTGTCCTGTAGCTACGCTGATCCACTAAATAAGAAATTCTTGGTGGATGGAGCCTGGACATTTTTGTTTTGTTTGCTTGTTTTTTAAACTCTGTAGGTGAATCTATAGCATAGCCAGAGGTTTAGACCCCGTAGTTCAGGACTTCACGTCTCTCAGAGCATTTCCATATACATAATTTCATTTGGTCTGAGAAGAATCCCGTGATGTAGGCAGGGCATATATAAATATCCACATTTTACAGATGAGGAGAAATGAGGTCCAGGGAGGTTGGGTAGAACGGGCCTCAGCCTTGGGTATTCTGGTAATTCTAGGGTGTTTCCACCACACACTGAAATTTTTATTTCTAGTAATATCACATCACGTCAGTTGTTCTAAATATTTAATTGTCTCCTACTTTTTTCTTAAAAAAGAATGTAATTAGTATAAAAGGCCTGATTGCTCATTTAGTGGAATAATAGCTACGACACAGCTGCCATCCCCATAACCCTGTTTGTTTCCTTTATAGCAGTTTCCATCATCTGACATTATTTATTATTTGTTTACTTATTTGTTGGTTGTGTTCTCCCACTAAAATACAGATTTCACAATGGCATTGAACCTATTTGGTCTAGAACAGTGCCTGGCACTTAGGAGAAAACTCAATAGCTATTTGTTGAATAAATAAATAAATGGAATATTCACTTGCCACTTTATCTCCTTGAATATTATTTATTATTAAATTATAAATGAAATATTAATCTAACATACTATTAACATAATCCTAACTGAAAATAACTTAAAAAATGTACTTAGTAATAGATTTCAGTAAACACTTTCTCCATACATGAATGAATGAATGAATGAATGAATGAACCTCCATAACATACAGTGAAACCACTTAATATAGAGTACATTGTTTTGATATTAAATGATATTTTAAATTTTTACTTGGCCTATGAGTTCTTTGTGTTGTTTTGTTTTGGTGGAGGCTAGTATATCAAGTGTTTTTGGATATTGTTAGTTGCTATGGTCTGAATGTTTGTGTAGCCCCAAATCCATATGTAGAAATCCTAACCCCCAAAGGTGTTGGTCAGTGGGGCCTCTGGGAGATGGTTAGGTCATGAGGGTGGAGCCCTCACTAATGGGATTAATATCTTATAAAAGAGGCTCCAGAGAGATCCCCAGCCCCTTCCACTATGGGAGGACACTGCTGGAAGGCGCCACCTATGAACCAGGAAGAGGGCCCTCATCAGAAGGAGACCTTCCTGGAGTCTGGACCTTGGACTACCAGCCTCCAGAATTTGAGCAATAAGTTTCTCCTATTTATAAGCTACTCCGTCAGTAATATTTTGTTACAGCAGCCTGAACGGACTAATACATCGGTCACCTAGTTTATTTGTCCTTATCAAAGGGAGCTCAGCTCTGGAACTGATATTGTATTATAATGTAATTTCATTAAAATTACTGTATTTAGATAGCTCCTGGCATCCTTCATTAAACTGAAGGTGTTAAATTTATAAGTGTTTGAGGCAAAGATAGTTCTCAGTGCTTTCATGGAGGAGAAAAAGTCAGCATAATTCCACTTTTAATTATTGTAGGATAAAAACACTGCATGCATTTAAAGGATTGAAATAACGCTTTGAGTGTTCTGATTCTTCTTCCCAGTTACCGGAATTCGTACAAGAAGAACATCTATGTGGACATGCTGCGAGACGGTTATCATAAGTCCTTTACTGAGCTCTTCTCTCTGATGGAGCAGTGGGATGCCGTGAGGGATCCTGCGAGATTTGGTTCCCTCTTTCTGCAGAGACCCCTGGAGGAGCAGCGTGATAAGCTGGATCACTTCTACCACTACCTGACCAGGGCCGAGGTGGCCGAAAGGAAAGGTAAGTGGAAGGATCGTGGGCAGCAGGGCTGGAGAAACCAGAACTGCGAGTGCCTGAGGGAAGATTCCAAGTTGTTTCATGTATGCATTTGAAACATTAAGACAATTTAGCCCAGTTCAACCTAATCAACGAAGCATCTTTCTGGAATAAATGATAGGGAAGGCTGCATACAAGGCTGCCCAGACAGGATCTGCAGGGGCATCCTGGTGATGTCATTCTAAGCCAGGGAAGACAGGAATAGCACCTCATAACATCTGCAGAACTTTCCAATGTATTAAAATCTTTTGTATCATTAATTATAAATCTTTCCATAGTTTTCTTTATATATAATCTGAATATTGATTTTCACTGAAGAGATATTTTCAAAGAGTACTATAATTTGAAAATTATGGCAGTTTTTTAGAATTTATATAATGGAATTTGAAGGTTTTATCAGTAAGTCCTACAGATTTCAATCAGAGGATTTTTATTAGTGAATAGTGAGAAGACATGAAAAGCCTGCAGTTCACAATTATGAGTAGAATTGTTCATTTTATATTTTCCGTTACATAATTTCTCATAAATTCTTTTTTTGTGTTCTAAACTTTTCCAGAAAGCCAATATGTTTCAACTATTAAAGAAAATATTTTAATTTCTATTATAATTATGCTGATAATGTTGTCATAAGTATTTCTCAGTTACGTTATCAGGTATGGTCATTTTATACAATCAAAGAAAGAAAGGAGAGGCCAGCTCTGTGGTGTAGTGGTTAAGTTTCCATGCTCCACTTTGGCAGCCCGGGGTTTGCAAGTTCATATCCTGGGCGCAGACCTACATGCTACTCATCAAGCCATGGTGTGGCAGCATCCCACATATAAAGTAGTGGAAAATTGGCATAGGTGTTAGCTCAGCAACTATCTTCCTCAAGCAAAAAGAGGAAGATTGGCAACATATGTTAGCTCAGAGCCAGTCTTCCTCACCAAAAAAAAAAAAATAAAAGAAGAGAAAAACAAAGAAAGAAAGAAAGGAAATCCTAGAATTTGGTGTTTTACATTATTATTTTCTTCAACTTTTTGTGTTAAGATATCGTAGGACTCAAAAGAGTAGCTCAGGCCCCAACATGACAATGTCTATATTTCATTTCAGGCCTTTCTATTGGAAAATAGAGTATAAGACAACTTTTTGTTACCCAGCGCTACAGTGGGGAAAATTGATGGGGACATGCAAACAGCATCAGAGGGGTGGCAGAAGTCTTTCAGCCTCTGTAGTGTAGTTAATACATATTTCTTATCAGGTTATGACCTGACTTACAAATATGAGACATACAAAAATCTGAACACCACCACAAGTGAACTAGGGGTGTGTGTGCGTCTATGTGTGTGTGGAGATAGGAGGTGATAATTTGTATCATGAAAAGTATTTAACTGCAGGATTGACTTTAAAAATAGAGTTCTTTGGTGAATTATAAAATGTCACATATAATTTCTCAAGCAATTGTAACTGTTATAAATAAAAAATGCTATTGTAAAAAACCTGCATTGTACTCTCAGCCTCAAATTCCGAAGTGATATTTACACTGAAAATAGACTTGATCAAGACAAAATTTGCCCATTAGTCATTTTTTCAAGTTAAATTCATTATATTCACTAAGTGTTTTAAATAGAGACTTTTGTTTGAGTAGCATAAATATGAGCCAAATATATCATTTGTCATAAAGTGTCATAAATATGAGAAACTTGTCATAAAGCATTTTGGAATTATAAAGAAACTAAAATGCTAGACAGTCTACTTTAAGGTAGAAAACATTTTAATTTATAGTCTTTTATTAAAGAAAAGTAACTATCATAAAAATGTTTCTCCGATTACCACATATTCATGGTAACTAATGTTGCATTTGTTAAATGGAACAAAATTGCCTCTTGCTCAGAATAACGCTTCTGTAGGGTTATCTTCAAAATGCAGTGGCTTCTGCCTGGCCGAAATATAGAAAATTAAAATTATTGCAAAAAACATTGTTGGAAATACTTCAGTGAAAGGACATATAAACATTCGTATGCTCTTTTTAAAAATTTGCATAATTTTTTTCACATTTAACACATGAACTTTACTGGGGAAAAATTGTGATTTGAATTAAGAACGTCCCAGGAAATGGGACAGGGGATGTGCACATTCACTCTGATTAATTTGAATTAATCCTAAATCTTAAAACCAATATAAACACACACACACACACACTTAATCTAGAATGTAGAAATCTGTTAAGATTCCACCCCATATGGCCGTGAGATCTGAGACAGTTATCCCAAAGTGACGTATCTCTGAGTGTTCTCATTGCTTCTCATTGGAAAGACCATCACTCTAGGGTCATATAAGTTCATTTAATCAAAGCTATGGCACTAACAATAGTCATCACACGTCAGTTCTGTCTCTTGAGACTTACAGAGCAGGAACCTAGAGTTATTTAAATTACTTTACAAAACAAGACTTTCTCTTTCATAGCAAAGAAGTGTTTAAGGTAAGCCAGTCATTTCTTTTTGGGTTATTTTCCATTCATTACAGTGTTTGTTTGTCCCTGATAATGTTTCTTATATTACTCGTTGTGAATCATCTCTGTACCATCTGTAACATTATGATTAGGGCCTTGTGCCCCATGGGGCCAGAGAGGAGATGGCAATAATGATTAAGGGTAACCAAATCAATAGATGATTCAAACATTATTTACACTTGACTTTAAATTATTGTCAAGCGTTAAGCAGTAATTCTTTTTCTAATAACATTATTTTTCTTTCTTTTAAAATTATTGCATTGCTTTTTTTATTTTTAGGCATGCTTTTCTTTTTTTGGTGAGGAAGATAGGCCCTGAGCCATTGCCAACCTTCCTCTTTTTTTTCTCTCCAAAGCCCCAGTACATAGTTGTATATCCTAGCTCTAAGTCCTTCTATTTCTTCTATGCACGATGCCACCACAGCATGGCTTGATGAGCGGTGTGTACATTCACGTCCAGGATTCGAACCAGCGAACCCTGGGCGGCTGAAGCAGAGCATGCAAACTTGACCATTACTCCCTCTCTAATAACTTTTATTTAATATTCCCAAAGTATGTTCTACGCTACTCAAGTAGAGTCCTACAGGATGTTTATAGGTTTTATAGAAAGCAAAACAAAAATAACTGTCAGGTGAAATAAATTTGAGAAACACCAGGTGAATTAATATTGATGTTAAGCAAGTTGGTTTACTCCAGGACTTATCAGAGCCTTTAACTTGCTGATGTATATTGTGTGGCTCGCTGAAAGGGAAATTAGCACGAGGAGTTCCCAAATTTATTTCATCACGGAATCTCTCTTTTAGGTAGCATAATGAATACAGATATAAATAATAAACCAACAGTAAAATTGATTTTCATCTTATACCTGCTGACAATTGAAGGAAGTGTTCTACAAGCAAGGAGAAAAGGCAGCTTAGAATGTAAAGGGTACAGGCCATGTATTTGGTGTGTCCAAAGATTCAAAACTTTAATATATTCCTTTATATTTAATACTCTGAAAAACACTCCATTTTTTCCATAGAAAAATGGCTTAGCTGACATGTAGTCTTTAATTATGGAATCTTGATAACTTGTTTAACTCATTCTAAAAACAGACACACACAAAACTTTGTCTATGAAATATTGGAACTGTTTTTCTATTGAGGTTTAATTTCTGAAAAACAGAAAAGTTATTTCAGGGTCACTTTTTTTAAGAAAACCTCTCTATATAACTTTTTTAAAATGGAAGATATGAAATGTTTTACTTATAGGCTTTAAAAAATAACTCTCTAATCACTAAATATGACAAAAAATATAAACTATTACAAAATAGACCAGTGCTACATTTGGTAGAAGGTTCGGAATGGAAAGATAAAGCTTAGGAGAAATCAATTCTGAGATGAGAGTGTTTGTTTTAAGTGAGTAACTCAGATGACTCTCCACTTTTCCCCTAAGCTGTTGCCTCTTGTGAACAGCCCTAAAAAGCAGAATGGCTCCGAGAATCCCCAGCTCCTTCAAAAATAAGGAGAGGGAGAGCTTCTTTTTTTTTAACCTTAATTTTTAGGTATAAATTTTATTTTAAGATAAATCTTAATTTCCTATGGAATTACGAAGCACTATATGTAAAGGAATGACGTAGGTTTTAGAAATTTCTTTTGAAACATTGGAGTTCTTGAAATTTACCTTTTGTTGTAATCAGCCTAATTTCATTTTCTTTCTGAGGCTTTTGATTTTAATCTTATAGGGGGACTAGTGGGCAATGGATAAATAATTTTAATCATTGTAATCCTTTCAGTAATATATGAGTTGACTCTTCTGATGGTAGTGAACACTTAGTCTCAGTGAATTCCAATAGATAAGAATGGTTATAAAAAATCCTTGGAAAGGTAATCCAGAGGCCACCACATAACTGTGCTTCCAGCACAAATGCAAAAAGACATAAAGATCATGAATTTGTTCATATTCACCAATAGAGTGGCATTTCCAGACTGAGGCACAACTTGTTAACAAATTTACTCCTTCTTCACATCGCTAGTAGCTTGTTTTCCTGGAAACATTGCTGGAAAGTGTGTGGAGCTTACTGGGTCATCCGGATCGTCATTTCTCATATCTGTAACCTCATGATTGTTTTTTCTTCTCAGGGAAAATACCTTGCTATTTTCATATCCTATCTACTTTCTTCATTTACATTATCTTTTTGCCATGGCTAAGAAACATTGCTCTCTCTGGAATCTCTAAATACTTTTCAAATCTTCAGTGGGAAAAATACTTGATGGTACTACATATTCATTTCTTCCAAAAGAACAGAGCACATGGCTAGTAGCTATTATCCTGTCTTTTGTTCTATATAGAATCTAGTGTTTCACCCAAAGAGTATGTCAATTTCTAACACGTTCTAAGTTTTCAGAAAGATTTTTGTTGCTTTTCTCATGTGCACATTCTTTAATTAATATAACTAATCTAACAATGAAAGTGCATTAATTTTTGCATTTAGACTTTTAAGATTGTTAAGCATGCTTTTAAGGAAAAATAGAAAATAAACGTTATTACATTGGTTGCCATTTGAAGGGATGTGCCGTGAGAAATTTTTCTAATGCAGTTTATAATGTTTTTCTCTCTTCGAAGAATACTTTGAAGATGTCTATAATAACTTGTATGCTCTGGCCTGCTACTTCAATAATTCTGAAGACAGGTGGGTAAGGAACCACTTCTTCGAACGATGTTTCAAGATTGCTCAACTGATCAAGATGGACGGGGGGAAGAAAGAAGCCGAGGCGCACGGAAACATGGGGCTTCTCTTTGAGGAAGACGGTGAGTGGCCATTGGCCGGGCTGCCGCTGGTGCACGTGCGGGTCGTCAAGATCTGAGGCTTTAGTATGTAAGTTTTTGAGATTAAAAAGCAAAGGGTGTGACTTATGGGCTTACCTGCAACGTTGCTTGCAGACATACCTCTTACCTGAGGCGGAGCGCTCAGCCTAGAGTTCCCAGGAGCATGATCCCAGGGAGAAAGCATCTTTCCCCACTCGGCCACAGGGCATCCTTCATCCACACACGTGCTGCTCCGTTTTGTTTTTGCTTTCTCACAGCCCTCTTTGTTCATTTTAACGTGATTTCTCACCTATGAAAAAGGAAAGGCACACTGTGATTCTCCCAGCACCCCACATCTGCTATACAACCCCCCCCCCAAATATCTGTGTAAGTCAGATACCACCCCATCATGATTTTATAATAATTTCTGAGGGAAATGTTTCTTTAAAAATAACTTCAGGAGCTGGCCCATGGTTGAGTGGTTGGGTTCGGTGCACTCTGCTTTGGAGGCCAGTTCATCAGATCATCAAGCCATGTTGTGGCTGCATCCCACGGAGAAAAATTAGAATGACCTGCAACTAGGATATACAGCCATGTGCTGGGGCTTTGGGGGAAAAAAAAGAGGAACAGATGTTAGCTCACGGCTAATCTTCCAAAAATATAAATAAATAGAAAATTAAAAAATTATTTTAAAAAACTTCATACTTAATGTTATCTTAAGGTAAGACAAAGTCTAAAACAACAAAAAATCTTCAGAAGCATTTTGTATGGTAGTTTAATAAGGATTACGATGAAAATTTCAGAATCAGAATCATTTGTGAATATTTAAGGATAGTGGGTAGCTAATATGCAAAAAAAATGTATATGGGAAGATGAAAATATTTTATCATGAATAATCCTATTTCTTCTTTCAAAAAACTGTCTCATTTCCACAAAAGTTTTGGCATTAGTGAAAGAGTTAAATTAGAAAATATTATTTTGTGGCAAGGACTGCATAGGACTTTGACAAAGGAGGGAAAACCGTTTTTGTGTTTCAGGAAATTGCACGTTGTAATCTACACGGTGGAAGGTGCTAGAACATGGCAGATGGTTAGGAGCCGTCTTGAGTGACAGATACGGGGAATAGCAGAAAAATTCAGAGGAGTGAGAGATCGTACAGACTAGATTACAGGAAGGCACGGAATCAGCAGGGCCTGGTGGGGGACTTGGAAGATGGGTGGAGTTTAGGCGGGTAAAGAAACAGGAATATGTTATGTAAGAGGGAACTACGTACCCTAAAGCATAATTAGAGGAACTAATGGGAGGAGCAACCTGTTTGAAGTGAGCAGTGTACTTCTGAGCAGTGATGGGAACTGAGTAGAAAGGCAACATGGGGACATGCCAGCATTTAGAGCTTGGGCTTATGCTTCTGTACATTCAGGGCAAGGAAAGGAGTGTAATATAATCTACGTCTGGCTGTGATGCACGCTGTGGGAGGAGGAAAAAGAGGAAAGGGGGATGGCTGGGAAGCTGCTGCCCTAATTTAGCCCCGGAGGAACAACTGAAAAGTAATAAAGAGAATGGGTTTCAGCATGTCCATTGCAGTACAATTTATAATATCTCAAAATAGGGGATTCGTTAAATATATTAAGCAATATCCATGCAACAGAGTTCTGTGCAGTCATGAAATTACAAATTAGGGCAAAATTCATTCATTCATTCAGCAAATATTTGTTTAGAATCTAGTGCCAGGGGATAAAACGTGAATAAGACAGACAAGATCCTTGCCCTCATGGCACTTACATTCTATGGGGAAAACAGGCCTTAGCCACTAATAGCTGTCTAATATATTAAGCAGTGATAAGTGCTGTGATGAAAAAGAAGCAAGGCAAAGGGATAGACAGTTGTTGCTACTTCACATAAGGTGTTCCCGTGTTAGAAGGTAAGACATGAATGAAATGACAGGCTGAGCCTTGTGAAACTCTGGAGGGAGAGGTTCTAGAGAGAGGCCATAGTAAGTGCAAAGGCCCTGAGGCACACACATGCTAAGCATGCCCAAAGACTAGCGAGAAGGCCAATGTGTCTGGAGCTCAGTGGGTGGGGTAGGAAGTGGAAGGAGAGGAGCTAAGATTAGATCAGGAGGCTTGGGATCACATTGGGGCTTGTAGGCTAAGGTGAGGACTTTGGATTTTACTCCGCATTGTATAGTAAACACCAAATACAGATTGATTTGAGAAAATGCTCATGATAAATTAAGTAGAAAAATAAGATACAAAACACAATGTAAAATATAGTTATGTTTGGTGTGTACCATACAGCAACATGTTAACAGTGGTTACTTTTTAATGTGGGGATCACAGGTGATTATAAAATTATGCATTGAAGAGACATTTCTTCCTATAATTTGAGAAGTTTTTCATTAAGACTTTTAGCCTGTTGTTAAAAGTAGAGTTTTTGTTTTTCAATTTGCAAACATGGGACAAATTCTTGCTTAAGTAAAGTAAAATTCTTACTTAGAATTTTAAAAGTTACTATTCTCATTTCAGGAATGAGGTAAATACTTTTTTAAGCTTTAAAAAATTAGCTTTGTTTTGAGGATGAGGAAATGATGGCGCAGAGAGATTAAGCTGGTTAGTGGTAGAGCTAGCTTTAATAGTCAGTTGGCTTCAGAGCCTGTGCTAGTAGCTGCTGCTGTATGTAAACAAAGAATTGCTTTACCTCCAAGATGTGCTAATTATGAAAATTCCTGAAAATTATATGCTAAAAGTGATTTAGCACTTTTTTGTTCTTTATATATGAGCTTCCCTCAGCTGAAAAGAATAAAAATGGTTCTTTGTTTTGTTTTTACAATTAGAGTCATCAAATTCCCCAGTTACAATGACAAGCCAGGTAATAGAACTGTCAATTACTGGCCCCCCAAAAAAGAAGTCACTAAAGAAATAAGAAATAATATTTAAAAATAAAGACTGAAGAAGTCAAGACTACATCGATGAAAATTTAAGAGTGGCCCCAGTGAAATTCAGATAACTATCATGGGTATATTCTGAATTTTTCTATAAATTTTACTTTTGATTTTTTAAATTCAGTTTAATATCTTTAAAACATTTTATTGTGGTAAAAAAATGTATAACAAAATTTACCATCTTAACTATTTCTAACTTTACAGTTGAGTAGTGGTGAGTGTATTCACACTGTTGTGCAACCAATCTTCAGAACTTTTTCATCTTGCAAAACTGAAACTCAATACCCATTAAATAACAAGTCTCAATTTCCCTCTTCTTCTGATTTTTCAGTCTCTGAATGTATTTTGGGGGGGCAGCTGGCCTGGTGGTGTAGTGGTTAAGTTCACTCACTCCACTTCAGAGGCCCCCAGTTCCCAAGTTTGGATCATGGGTGTGGACCTAGCACCACTCATCAAGCCACGCTGTGGCGGCGTCCCACATTGAATAGAGAAAGATTGCCACAGATGTTAGCTCAGGGCCAATCTTCCTCACACACACACACACACACAAATGTGTGTATTTTTATTGGAGGATTTATTCATTGCTTCCTTTATTTTTTCATTCATTTATCTATCCATTCACTCATTCAGCAAATATTGGAGTGCTCACTAATCCTGTGATTAGAACCATGGTACCATGGTTGCCCACATCATTTTAGTGGCTGAGAGTGAGGATGAGTTTGGGAAAGGTGATCAGCGTGGGGCTGCCATGAGATTACATATTTGCCGGTCCTTGGCTTCCTCACATTTACATGCCCCACCCTATAGCATGATAAAATGCACTCATCTTCCATAATATATGGGATGTTTTTGGCTATGAAATTACTTTTAAGTTAGATGGTGTTTTGCAACCACTTTTTGTCAGATCTAAAATACTTTTCTATGCTCTTAATCAGTTCCTTAATCAGGCCCTAAGAGCCATGCCTTTATTGCTTGATGGATAGAATGACTGAGTTGGTGTTGGTGAAAATTCTAGAGACTGACTTCAGTGTTTGATGTACCCAGCAAGAGTGAAAATTATCTGTGCAGCATTTGTAATCTGGAGTAGAATTTTCATTCGGAGGGTAAACTAGGACTACTTAGAGGTGCTGGTGGTGTAGCTTCCGCGTATCTGATCTGATTGGTCCAGACAAGCAAATGGAGGCCCCACAGCACCAGCTAGGTGGCAGCTGTACTGAGGCAGGTGGCAGCATCCTGATTCCAGGGGTGCCCATTCAGGTTAAAGCAGGGTAACAGCCGGCAGATGGCAAAGGGCAGGTTGTCAGGGCCCAGTCAAGCAGGCTGTAGTCCAGGGCATAGCTCCAGCACTCTCAGGGAACTATAGAGCAAATGAACATGAGCAGAGGCCATAGTCACAGGGACCCGGCCCTGAATAAAGGCTAACTTGGACCCACAGCATTGATCCCAAGTTCTCCCAGTGACTGGGGAACTTGTGAAGAAAAAAAGAGTTGTTCTGGTTGGCTTGCTCAGTTCAGGTCCTAGAATTTACCATTGACAGTCAGTTCTGTGAATAGATTCTGGATAGTGTATCTTAGTGCAATTTGCCAGGGGCCGGAAGGTACCAGGAGCAGGATAGTATCGTGAATGGAATGGCTCCCACTCTCCCCTGACACAGCCAGTGGTGGAAGGCAGATCCAGGAACAGATTTCTAGAGAGGCCACCACTACAAGGGACTGTCCCATTTACGATCTTGATCTCACAGAGAAGAGTTAGAACATGGAACCCTCTTATCCTTATCTTGTTGATGGTTAACTCCCTTCTCTAACATCTCCTCCAAACACTGGGGAAGATGTCCCCTTTCATCTTTTTTTTTCTTTTTTTTTTTGCATTAATTTTATGAGGAGCAGTGGTTCAGCTCTCCTCTTAGGGAAGTATCCACCCCATCCTAGGCAACTCCCTTCAATATCACACACACACACACACACACACACACACACAAATGAGAAATTCTATCACTGAGACTCTTAACCCCATAGGTCTCCCACTACTCGGGATTTTTCAAAGCTAGTCCCTGCTAACAATC